AAACAACAGTTACATGCTGGCCTTTGTCTGCGCTTGTCAGGGATCCTACTTGTTTGCACCCAGTTGATGCCAATATTTTTGGAGGTTTCTGGACAGTAGACAGTCCACGTTCATCCATATTGTAAATCTTCTCAACAGTGATCGATTTTTCTTGTAGAACAGAATCTAAAACCTCAAAAAATTTGGAAACTTGAGGCTTGTTAAAAGCTCGTGCCCTGGCTGCTGAAGTGGGTTCTGGCCGTCATAGAGATATGTCTGTATTTCTTTTGCGAAATCCTCTGAGCCACTCTTTTCCTGCGATTCCTTTTTCACGGTTAAATCTATGATCTAGTTCAGTGGTCGCCAACCTCTCAATGTGTTGAGGTACTTTCTTAATTTTGGAATAAACAGCGAGCTACCCACACGGAAGCCACGTAACGCAACGTAAATGAAATAATCCACAGTTAATTTATCATTATATGTATTTATTTTACTATTTAACTGGTAATACGTAATACATAGGTACTAATAATAAACTAATAACAAAATAACTAATATTACTAGTACGTACTTGTTCATAGCTACATTCCTACCTACCAAACAAAGGTGTTTGAAAAATAAACACAAACTTTTATCCAGCCACAACGGCATATCACGTAAGATTTAAAAATAGTTAATAATAACAACAAAAAAGTAACGCACTATCATGAACATAAACATTGAAAAATAAAAAAGCACGTTCAATGAGAAGGCTGACACTCAGACTCATCGATAATTTTTTTAATGTTTGCAGTATAATTTGATACAGCCATTCGAATACAATTATCCTAATGTTCATCTGTAAGTCGATTGGGATATTTGTTCTTAATAAACTTCATATTGGAAAAAGAAGATTCACACAAATAGGTTGAACTGAATAATGCTTTCACTTTCAAGGCAACACGGCATAGAACTGAATATTTGTCTTTACTTACAATAGGCCAGATACATTTGGTACTTGAGACTAACGATTTTAAGGCTAAATCATTTTGAAACTCAATTACTTCCATTTCTGTTGCAGCGATGTCTTCGCCAAAGTTCTGCATAACACAAGTTGCAAACTGTTGGATATCAATTTCCATAAAGGGCGAAACAACAAACTGCGCTACTAAGGCCATTTCGTTGAAATCCTTAAAACGATTTTTGAAGTTATTCTTCAGGGTAGAAACTATTTCTACATGATATTTGCTGTCATAGGGTTCTAATGGATTTTGGGTTATTTTTTCTGGAAGAATAGGGAAATGCTTGGCATCGCTGTTAATTAGGTTTGGTTCCTAAAACTCCAGCTTTTTGATAAATGCTTTTATATTAGAAATAATTTCCGCTAGTTTTTTGTCTCTCCCCTGAAGCTGCAAATTAAGTTCGTTTAATTTCTCTGTAATGTCCACGAGAAAACCAAAATCTCTAAGCCAGATTGAATTTTCTAGTTCCGGAGTCGGTTTATCAAGATGTTTGAAAAATTGAACTATGCCAGATAGGACATCATTAAAACGTGTCAGCACCCGTCCTCTACTTAACTATCGGATTTCAGAGTGAAGGAGTAGGTCCCCGTATTGACAGTCAACTTCATCGGCCAAGGTTTTGAATAATCTTCTTTGTAACGCTTGAGCTTTAATCTTGTCCATAATTTTTACCAGCAGTTTCATAACGTTGTTTAGTTTCAGGAAATTTTCACATAATGCTTGCTGATGGATAATGCAGTGGTAACAGAGAAATTGCGGACAAGTTTCATCTTTACGACATAACGCCATCAGACCCTTATCACAACCCACCATAGCTGGAGCGCCATCGGTTGTCAAGCCTACCATTTTCGGTATTGGAATTTTCTCGGAAGAAATAATATTTTTTATATGAGAAAACAACTCCTGTCCAGTTGTGTCCTTTCAGTGGAATAAACTTCAAAAGATCTTCTTTAATCGTAAAATCACTAAAAACCATCCTGACGAACACGGCCATCTGGGCAGTGTCAACGACATCTGTTGATTCATCCAGTTGAAGTAAAAAATAAACACAGTTATCTAAGTCAGTTATTAACTGTAAAAAGATATCATTGCTCATTACTTCTATACGTCTCATCACTGTATTAGCAGAAAATTGCATAGATTTTATAGCTGAAACTATCTCGTCTTTATTTCTAAAGTTGGCAAATAACGAATCAGCAGCTTCTAAAAACGCCTGTTTTATCATTTCCCCGTCTTCATAAGGTTTATTTTTAACCGACTTCAAAAAAGGAGGAGGTTATCAATTCGTCGCGATATTTTTTTTTTATGTATGTTCAGCGATTATTCTTTAACACGGTGTCCGATTTCAATGATTCTTTTTTTGTTAGAAAGGGGCTACTTCAGGGGTGGTCCCATATAAATTTGGTCAAAATCTAAAAATTGGGTCCATGAGAAAATCCTCAAACTCTTCATTTTTTATGTATGTTTAGCGATAATGCTTTACCACCTTGTCCGATTTATATGATTCTTTTTTTGAAAGTAAGGGGGTACCTCAGGGGTGATCCCATATAAATTTGGTTAAGATGTGGTGATGGCATCTGCAAGTTTTTGAAGTCGGTTTTTTTAAATTTTTAATTTACACTTGTTTTGTGCAATTATCTGGGACACACGGTACGATGCTTCAGTTGCGGCCTTATTTTTGTCGACTGTTCTTAAAAATATTGATTTTTGTCCAATTAACTGCTTTTTTAACTGTTTCAGTTTCTTCTTTCTGGCGGCAGAATGTAGTGGGAATGATTTTTCAAAATTAGAATGTACAGTTTTATGATGTCTCTTAATATTTCCATTTTTAGCAACGGAGACCGAAGTATTACATAACAAACACACATTTTTATCTTTAACTTTTGTAAAAAAGTATTGTTTTTCCCATTCCTAATGAAAGTGGTATGTCTTTACCTTCTTACAACTGCTTGCCATAATATTATTTTTTGTTGTTCTCTACTAACCCAACCGCTGGACGTTGGTTACGCGTTCAGTTTTAAACTAAGCGCAATGTCGCCGCGCCGTGCGTATTTATCCCGTTCAAAGCAATCCTGATTGTTCTCGAACACTAACGCACTGGTCCGGCTGATCGGTTCTAGCCGATTCTAGCCTGATGGCGTCAGCGGCAAATCGCTTACCGCAACGTTGCTGCTGTTTATGTTTAATATTATGACAATTATATTTTTTTGTGGAATTTTCGGAAGCTTCTCTGATTTTTGCAGTTTGTATTTTTTAAATTAAAATCGTTGTGAGAGCTACCAGAATTGCCTCCGCGAGCTACCAGTAGCTCGCGATCGACAGGTTGGTGACCACTGGTCTATAGAGTCATAAATAGTGCTATGCAGTTCAAGTACTGCATCTTGGGTTGATTTCCCCCCTTGAAATGATTTATTTTATCCCAAAAATGAAAATTAAAAATCACTAATATATTCAACTGGAGAAATAAAAGGAGTGCAAAATTTCTTAGGATTTCCTAGGATTATTTTCGTCATGTCAACGGGATCAAGCAATGTTCTCCCTGATTTTCTTAAAACTAGGTGGATTTGACGATGTGATCTTCGTCCAGAATCTTAAACTAGCTGGATTTGGCAATTTAGTTCTCGTTCGGCAATATTGCTTGGATATACACTTTTTGCTTAGTTTATTTCACCAATTTTCACGATTTCGATTTGCCGTTAAACTATTAAAATAGACCGATTTGACACGATTTTTGTTTTCACATCGTTAGGCAATCCTACTGACTGCGCCACTTTTAAGTTCACTAATAAAAATTGGTTTTTTAAAAAATGACAAAAACTTTAATATGTAAAAGCTAGAAAATTCCGGCAATGAACTAGTTTTGTTGCCGCTAGATCTTGGACTTGCCGCGTCTGCATAATTCTACTTGTATTTACTATGATTGTGTTATCATAACTTTATTAATAATTAACTTATATTTCTTTTATTTTGCTTGTTTTTAACAATTTTATTTTTTTGTTACCGCAGGCTTTCCTCTTTTTTTCTTGTTTCCATATGGAAAAACTTAATTTTAACAAATATTCTTAAAACGATTTAACAAGGTATCTGATTAAGGCGTATCTGAGAATATTTTAAAGAAAATATTTTTTTGAAAAAACGCAGAAACAATTAAATTTATATTAAAGAGGCACACTTTTTTATCATATCAACTGTCATACATCATTCCCCTTCTTCCGTCACTCTAACCAATACAATTTAAAATGGGAAAATAGGTCTATGACACATCTTCGAAATGGTTATTTTATGGAGAATTCAGAAATATGCCTATTCATTTCGTTACTTTCATTTTTAGCGCCCTCTAGCGTGATAAAAAATTATTACCCACGGGAAAGTGTGTGAAAGCTAATTTAATAGTGAAACCAAAACAGTCGATATAAATTGTGCATGCTCCAAGCGAACCGAAACAAAGCTATTACAGAGTTTTAACAAACATCCACTAACGTTACCTTAGCGGTATACTATAATCTACTGCTTTGAATGTTTATGTAAAACGTCACAATCTAAGTTTAACGTAACGTTAGCGAAGAAATTATGTACATTTGCCAAAACTCTCCACATTGAGCGAATTGCCTCGCGAGGCTGTCTCGCGAAGCAAATGCTCGCTTAGTGTAGACGTGCCTCGCCCTTAATTTTAGGACGTGCTGCCTCACCCGAGGCGGCCTCGCCCCGAGCCGAATGTTGTCGGTAACGTGGACGTGCTCAAAAGAGTTTCAATTTAGGAATATGAATTTGCCTAGCATAAGAAGGTTGCCACGCGAAGCAAACTAATTTTTTCTGGAACCAAATTCAACCGAAGCCGGCTCGCGAGGTAAAAGTCCGAGGCTTCCTCGCGAGGCAATTCGCTCAATGTGGACGCGGCTATTGTCTACGAACCTTAACCCGTGCGCCAAAAGCTCGCGTGCTAAGGTTCAGCTTTAGAGCTAAATATTGTTAGGCTATTAACATTGTCTGTTAAAGTTTATATAGAAATGTTTTTCTTACTTGGTGATCCTTGTACAGTAATGCCGTTTCCAGTGATCCACATCAACGGACCGTTCCATGGTACATACCCAAATGTTATTACGCCATTAAAGGTTAAAGTCGCACCAGACTGAAGAGCAAGTTTCAAAGTTTGTCCAGCCGGTACCTGAAAACTGCCTACTGAGATAGTTTTACATGTGGACGTAACTGACGATACATCTTTGAAACTGTTGATGTTGCAAGCGCTGTAACTATCTAAAGCTAAAAATATAGAATTATACACGGTGTCCCGAAAAGATTGATCGTCAATTAAACCACATATTCTGGTATCAAAAATAGGTTAATTGAACCTTATTTACCTATGTACAAAAAAAGTGCACACAAAAAAGTTAAACATTTAAATAATTTTTTTTAATGTTGCTCTATAACGGTTTAAAAATAATTTATGAAAAGGAGGGTATGGTTTTCTGGGTCCCATGTTCCCGGTCATAAGATTTTGCACACTTATAGATATATCAAAAAGAAACATTTTCCGAAAATTTTAACATTCAAACCATTCCGGAAAATCTTCAAAAAAGTTCTTTTATTGCGGAGTTTTTGAAGATAAAATAATGATAAAATAAACATTTTGGCAACAAAGCTTATGTGCTTATCCAGGGTTTTGACGTAATATATAGATGGTAGCAGTAATGCAAATAAGACCACGTAACTATGGAAATACGAGTACCTAGTTAGTGTAGCAGACTCCGTGATGGACTTATCTCGAAAATACAGAGAGAAAGACAGATAAATGTCGAGTGTTATAGGAACGTTTTAAACTAAGCGAGGTTTTGAACATCTCAAAAGTTCTTGGTGTGATAGCAATAAAATCAGGCGCAATCAGGCGATAAAGGTAAAGAATTAAAGATCGATGTCAGTAAAAATCAGCCAACAGAAAGGTTTACTTTTGCAATTTTGTTTCTATTCAATCACCTGTAACTGCACTCTTTTAAGTTTTGGATATTGGTGTCTAATGGAAGTGGTCTACAAGTGGTCAGTACAAAAAAGCTCCATCAGTTTAAAAGTTCTTTAAAAAAGCCTGCATTAGGTAATGAAATGTTATATCTTAGCTACAGAGACAAAAAACAACATTAATAATTTATTCATTAAAACAGAAATACACACGTACATTTTTAAAATAACTATGTAGATTTTTGCTCTTAAACATTATTAGAAAACCTATCTTGTACGCACCTTACCTAAACAAGTACCTAAACAAGAAGTACTTAAACACTATTAGAAAATCTATGACAACATTTATACAAAATTACAAGAAGCGTGGTGGATTCGGCTGTTAGCATTCGAAGTGAGTGGTCGACAGTACGGGTATTTATCAATAGTGATAACAAATCGAGTTTTTAGATTTAAGTGCGGTATAAAACATGGAAAAAATGGAAAAGAAGGTCTTCCTCCAGATAGAGGAAAATCTAACTTACATTGTCAATTGTTTCAATGGATTCTGAAAGTGGCAATGGAACTGGAGAAAATTCAAAACAAGAAAACGATTCAGATAACTACATAAATAATCAAACTAACATTAATTCTGCCAATAATTGCGATAAAACCGATAACCGAAATATCGAAAAGAACTTTTATAGTACGGGCGATTCAGGGCCTTATTTTGTATTTATTGAGAATAAAACTGGTAATATTGGTAGGTTACATAGAATAGGAACCGCTAGATTAATACTCAAAGCAGTACCGGAAATTGAAAAAAACATAACAAATATGGCAAGTGTAGGTAAAAATAAAGTAAAAGTTGAATGTAACTCGTTAGAGAGCGCAAATATACTTGTCAAGTCAAAGGTATTACGGGAAAAACAATATGATGCTTACATCCCAACATATTACACAGAAATACGGAAATCAAATAAAAATTGTCAATGTTAAAAGAATGTTCAGAAAAGTTGAAGATAAGCTAATTCTAACAGGTAATATCGTGGTTTCATTTAAAGGGCAAAGAATTCCGGATCAAGTGGTTATTGAACGTATGGTTTACGATGTGGATAAGTATATCCCCAGAGTTGTGCAATGCCTAAATTGTTTGCGATACGGTCATATAAGTAAACAGTGTAAGAGTAAAATTCGTTGTCAATTTTGCGGCGAAGATCACGAAAAAGAAATATGTCCTACTCAACAAAATCCACAATGTATTTTATGTGGGGGAGCACACCCTGCAACAGATAAGAATAATTGTCCCATTTTTATGGAACAAAAATCAGTAAAAACTCTTATGGCTTTAGAAAATCTTACATACGTTGAAGCAAAATCAAAATATAATTCTTCTTATGCAGGTGTTGTTGCTGGAAACGAGAATCATCTTTCCCAAAATTCCAGATATACGGTACAACTTAAAAGAAAAAGGTCAGATTATAAAAATGTAACTATTAACCCATATTCTCCAGAACATAGGGAAATTCTGCAAGCTCCTAAAAGCTCATCACAACCAGTTTTTAATATCAATAGAAATATCCCTCAATACCACAACATAAATAAAAATAATATACAAGATAACTCGCTTAATATTATCCAAAATAGTCAATCTCAATCTTCAAACGATAACACTTGCGAATTAATTATTACCGTGATTAAAAAATTATTAGAAACAGACGATATAGATTTATTAAACAAAATAAAAAACAACATCTCCCCAATTTTAAACAACATTCACTTTTAAAATATTGCAATGGAATTCTAGGTCTGTAATTTCCAATAAGGGTCTTTTAGAAAAATATATTTTTGATAATAACTAAATGCTGTTCTTCTTAGTGAAACATGGTTAAAAAAAAGAATAATATTAATTTTACAGGATTTAATATATTCAGATGTCACAGAGACGATGGATATGGCGATGTCGCGATACTCTTAAAAAACAACTTTACATACATGCAAACTCCAAATTTCTATAACATAAATAACTTAATGTGTATCTCAATAGGCGAAAAAAATTTAGACTCCAGCGCCTCTACCGGTCACTTTTTCGTCCTCCGCTGGGCCATTTATAATTTGTTTACATTTGTTTTCATATGACATGCCATAGGTTTTTCGTAAGATTAGGTGTTGAATTTTTCGTTTTTAAAGTGTGTAAAGGATTTTGTTAGTTTTAGTGTTAGTTATACAGTATGGTTCAAATGAAAGGAATAAATTCATTATAATGGAAGTAGTTGGTTTTTCGAAAAAATGCTCGGACAGGTCAATTTTGTTTACTTAAAGCGCAATTTTTTAAATAGAATTCAATTTTCCCCCACTTCTTATTTTTGGGCAGTGACGTCATTGACAATTTTTTTAAATAGTATCCCCAATTTTTTTTTCTTGATTTTGATAGATCTTGCAATTTCCTATTCAGAAACATAATATTTGTAATATCTGACATAACAATTTTTTTTGAATAAAAGTCATTTAAAGATCAGATACATAAATTTTATTTTATTTTGAAACACAATAAATGAATAAAATATTATTTCTAAATAAGTGCTTCATCTAAAAAAAAAAAAAAATAATAATAATAATAATAATAAAAAGAATTTAATGACAATTTCACAAATTCTTTATTAATTATTATTATTATTATTATTATTATTATTATTAATAGTATTATTATTAATTTGTTAGATTAGGCACTTAATTACAAATAATTATCTTTTATTCATTTATTGTGTTCTCAAAATAAAATAAAATTTATGTGTCTGATCTTTAAATGACTTTTATTCAAAAAAAATTGTTATGTCAGATATTACAAATATTATGTTTCTGAGTAGGAAATTGCAAGATCTATCAAAATCAAGAAAAAAAAATTGGGGTTACTATTTAAAAAAATTGTCAATGACGTCACTGCCCAAAAATGGGAAGTGTGGGAAAATTGAATTTTATTTAAAAAATTGCGCTTTGAGTAAACAAAATTGACCTGTCCGAGCATTTTTTCGAAAAACCAACTACTTCCATTATAATGAATTTATTCCTTTCATTTTAACCATACTGTATATGTATTAATTAAACATTTTTATAGATAGTGGCAGTGTATTTATTTAGCAAAGGTATGTTTTTTACCTTATATTACATTAAACCATAACCTAAATACATAATACTATTTTTACTTGCAGATGTGTGAAATTAGGCTTAGTATTGTCGACTATATGAAGTATTTAGAAGGGACCAAAAATTCAAAATGTGTTTACGAAGGTGAACACGTTTTAAATGCTGGGCATCTAATATTAGCGGGTAAAACGAAATCCACAGCAACATCCGTGAATATTATTGCCTTGTGCCTTCAGTCATCAGCATTGGAGAATGAACCACATAAAATCGAGGGACTATTTAAAATAGGGAATCAGAAAGCACAAATTGAACGAATGGTTTGCTCTTGTAAAGCTGGACAAAGTGGGCGGTGCAAGCATATTTCAGCATTTCTAATTAAATGTACAAGGTGCTAAAGTAACAAAAACCAAAAAAACACTATCAAGCAAATTCGATTTTGATATTGATGTTTTCCTTTTTTTATACTTCTCTTTTCTGCTTTGTGTTTTTTGTTTTAGGGAGGATATACAAAGTTTGGAAAATATTTCACAAACACAGTTGAAATGTGCTTGGTCAACCCAGAAACTAATTACCAGGGAAAAATACAAACCAGTACCAGTAAAAGAAATGCCTTGTTTGGTAAATAAGGTCCCATCGTGCAATATTCAAATCAACAATTTTGAAGTTTTAAACTATTTTTGTGCTAACTTGCCTCAGTCAGCAATTTCAAAACATAGGTATAATTGTGAAATTTAATATATTTTGCGGATTTTAACAAAATTTATTTTAGAACCGGTAGAAGACATTTTATTGATAAGGATGTTATTCTGGAAGAAGTTCATTTGGATAATTGTATAAACAAAATAGTGCTGGACAATGCTTCGCAATCCATTATAATGATGGAGATATTTTCAAAGGAAGTTGGTTTAAAAGATTGTTGCGATGAAATGTTTCAGTCATTGTGTTCCGATGATATTGATTTGATAATGAAAGCTGAACAACACACTCCAGAATGGTTGAAATATAGAAAATTTAGAATAACTGGAAGTCGTTACTATTCTCTATATAGATATTCAAAAAATGACTGGGAGACTAAAACGGTAAAATATTTTTACGAACATTCGTTTAGTAATAAGTTTGTTAAACACGGTTTAAAATGGGAGTCGCAGGCAAGAACCGTTTTTAAAGATCTGACAACATCAGAAGTA